GCTGCTTCCAAGGAGAACGCTTTCACCACACAAGCGCCCAGGGAGTGGCTGTCGAAGTGGGCACTAAACGCCGATGATACCGACAAGGCTAACGACCTGGCCTCTGAGGTCATCGCACGCCTGGGTACTGACGGCTCGCCCGCTGCCAGTCAGCTGTTGTCATCAAAGAAGCTGTTCTACAAGGAATCACCATGGCTGATTGGCTCCGACGCCTGGGCGTACGACCTGGGTAACTCTGGTGTACACCACGTCCTTGCCTCTGGCGAAAACGTCAACATGCTCATCGTCGACTCAACACCATATTCCGAGCGCGCAGCCGCTGACGCTGCGAGGCGGAAGAAGGACATTGGTCTGTACGCAATGAACTTCGGCAACGCTTACGTAGCATCGGTCGCTGTATACAGCTCCTACACCCAGGTTCTTGAGGCTATGATCGAGGCTGACAAATTCAACGGTCCCTCCGTCGTGCTTGCTTACCTGCCGTACGAGAAGGAGAACGACACGCCCCTGACTGTCTTGCAAGAGACCAAGAAGGCTGTTGACCTTGGTTACTGGCCATTGTACCGATGGGACCCACGCGCCGAGGAGAAGGGTGAAGAGAACTTCAAACTTGACTCGGAGCGAATCAAGAAGGAGTTGGAAGAGTTCCTGTCTCGTGACAACTACATGTCTCAGGTCATGAAGAGACATCCTGAGTTCTCATCCAACATCTCTGGATCCTACGGAACCGAAGTCAGGCAACTGCAAAAGCGCAAGGCCAAGGATGCTTACAGCAAGCTTCTTGAAGGACTTCAGGGCGACCCTATGACCATTCTATTCGCTTCCGACAACGGTAACGCTGAGAACCTAGCCAAGCGTCTAGGAAATCGCGGCAAGGCTCGTGGTCTCAAGACTATGGTCATGGCTATGGACGACTTCCCACTCGAAGATTTGCCTAACGAGCAGAATGTCATCCTGATGACTAGTGTAGCTGGACAAGGAGAGTTCCCTCAGAATGGTCGCACGTTCTGGGAGACCGTCAAGGACTCTACGGATCTGGATCTTGCAACAGTCAACTTTGGTGTCTTCGGTCTCGGTGACAGTCACTATTGGCCACGCAAGGAGGACAAGATCTATTACAACAAGCCCGCAAAGGACCTACATGCTCGTCTGCTCACTCTCGGTGCTAAGCCTTTGGCCGAGTGTGGTCTTGGAGATGACCAAGACCCAGACGCTTACCAGACTGCGTACTCTGAGTGGGAGCCAAAACTCTGGGAGAAGCTTGGTGTTGCCAACGTCGAGAATCTACCTGAGGAACCGGCGCCGCTGACCAATGAGGATATGAAGGCCGCTTCCAACTTCCTCCGAGGAACCATTGAGGAGGGTTTGGCCGACACCAGCACCGGCGCCATCTCTGCAAGCGATCAACAGCTCACCAAGTTCCACGGAACCTACATGCAAGATGACCGTGACCTTCGCGACCAACGCAAGGCCCAGGGTCTCGAGCCAGCATACTCCTTCATGATCCGCTGCCGACTACCTGGTGGTGTCTCGACGCCGAAGCAATGGCTACAGATGGACGAGATCAGCACGAAGCTCGGTAACGAGACCATGAAGCTGACCACTCGCCAAACCTTCCAATTCCATGGCGTCGTGAAGGGCAAGCTCAAGCCGGCTATGCAGGCTATCAACAAAGCCTTGATGACCACTATCGCGGCTTGCGGTGATGTCAACCGAAACGTCATGTGCAGCTCTCTCCCAACTCAGTCGAAGTACCATGGCCAGGTTCAGAACATTGCGCAGAAGATCAGTGACCACCTTCTTCCTTCTACCACCGCCTACCACGAAATTTGGCTGGAGGATGATGAGACAAAGGAGAAGCGCAAGATCGCCGGTGAAGCCGTCCAGGACCACGAGCCACTCTATGGCCCTCTCTACCTCCCGCGAAAGTTCAAGATCACCATTGCCATTCCACCTCACAACGACACCGATGTTTACGCTCACGACATCGGTCTCATTGCCATTAAGGGTGAGGACGACAACCTCGTAGGTTTCAACCTACTTGCTGGTGGCGGTATGGGTGTGACGCACAACAACAAGAAGACTTACCCGCGAACTGGAAGCATGTTCGGCTACGTTGCAGCCGACCAAGTGCACCTTGCTTGCGAGAAGATCATGCTCGTCCAACGTGACCACGGTGACCGCAAGAACAGGAAGCACGCCCGTCTCAAGTACACCATTGATGACATGGGTATCGATGTTTTCAAGGGAAAGGTCGAAGAGCTCTGGGGACAGAAGTTCGACGAGCCCAGACCTTTCAAGTTCCAAAGCAACATCGACACCTTTGGCTGGCAGAAGGACGAGACTGGTCTCAACCACTTCACTTTCTTCATTGAAAACGGCCGCATTGAAGACACTGCTGACTTCCCAATGAAGACTGGTCTGATCGAGGTGGCGAAGGTACACAAGGGCGAGTTCAGGTTGACTGGTAACCAGCACTTGATCTTGGCCAACGTCGCCGACGAAGACCTGCCTGCTATGAAGGAGCTGCTCAAGAAGTGGAGGCTTGACAACACCAACTTCTCTGCAATGAGGTTGTCCAGTTCCGCCTGTGTTGCGTTCCCCACTTGTGGTCTTGCTATGGCTGAGTCTGAGCGTTACCTACCTGAGCTGATCTCCAAGCTCGAGGGCACGCTCGAAGAGTCTGGGCTACGACAAGACAGCATCGTCATGCGCATGACTGGTTGCCCTAACGGTTGCGCACGTCCATGGCTTGCTGAGATTGCTTTCGTCGGCAAGGCTTATGGCGCGTACAACATGTACCTTGGTGGTGGCTACCACGGTCAAAGACTGAACAAGCTTTACAGGAGCTCGATCAAGGAGGAAGAGATCCTTGAGATCCTGCAGCCTATGATCAAGCAATACGCTAAGGAGAGGAACGAGGGTGAGCACTTCGGTGACTTCGTCATCAGGAAGGGCTACATCAACGAGACCACTCATGGAACAAACTTCCACGACAACGTAAGTTCCGAGGAATCAGACCATTCATGAGATGCATTGCTAACACTCTCATAGACTGCGGAAATGGAGTCAGATGGCGAGTAAGCCTATCAGCTCAGTGTGAAGTTGGAGGTCTTATTGGATTTTGTCGCATCTCGTCGCTCTTATGAAAATTTATGAACATTTTCTGGCGTTACCTGGAGAGGTCTAAGCGGTTGGGAAACGTCTTGTCTATACTTTATGACTTATCGCATGATCAAAAGGAATGAATGATACCATAGCATATTCAATGCTTCTGTTCGTAGCTTTAAGTTCCGTTGGCTTTCGATCTGATGTTTGATCTTGCGATGATTTCTGACCCTCCGCCTAGCACGAAAACAGCTGGCTTGAGTGCGAGACTTCCCTTCTTACGGGCTCAGCCTCTCAATCTTCCACTCTGCCCCCTTCATCTTCTCGGTGTTGTCCTCTCCACCAACCTTCCGGTAAACAAAACGATCATGTAGTCGACTTGGCCGTCCCTGCCAAAACTCCACCATATCCGGCACAATTCTCAGCCCGCCCCAAAACTCCGGCACGGGGATCTTATCCTTGCCATCGAACCTCTTCTCCACATCCTCTACTCTCTTCTCTAGCTGCTCCCTACTTTCAATCACACTACTCTGCTGACTTGCCCACGCGCCAATCCTTGAACCGCGAATCCTCGTATCGTAATAAACCTGCGACTCCTCGTTCGTAAGCCGCTCTACCGTTCCTTCGACACGAATTTGACGCTCCAGTTCGCGCCAGTGGAAAGTCAACGCCGCATGAGGATTGCTTCGTATGTCGCTCGCCTTGCGACTTGTATCGAAGTTTGAGTAGATGACAAAGCCGCGCTCGTCCAGCTCTTTCATGTAGAGCGTGCGTGCTGAGACTCTTCCACTTGGTAGTTCTGCGGTGGATAAGACGACGGTTTCGGGCTGGTAGACGTTGTTGGCCTGGGCTTCCTGGAACCACTTGTGGAACTGGTCGGTTGGCGAGGGGAGGAGGTCCTCGCGGTCTAGTGCGCCTTTGTTGTATTGGGTTGCATGGCCGGGGTCTTCGGAGTTGCTTGTTGGTGCGAAGATCTTCTTCGCTGACTCGGTGGCTGAGTGCAGCATGCTTTTTGGCTGGTGTTGAGGATGTTGTGCAAAGAAGGGTGATGCGAAGTAGCGTATGGAACTCGTAGTTGGGACGGTTCTCGGATATCTGTTGAGGATGCTTGTACACCTGGATGCGAGCATTGGTTACTTCAAGCTGTGGTGGAGGTTTGATACGTTGACTCACTTCGTGGCGTGATCTGAGCGATGCAGTGCTCGGAATGAGTCCTCTCACGATCGGAACGAAGTGGGGTGACGTAACTAGATGCTAGCGCGATTATCGACCAGCCACCCCATCGCGTGCCACTTGGGCTATGACACGAACCTCACGCGTTCACTGCCAGCTAGCAAAAGGGTTGAAACATCGAAGCTCTTGTGCATTGATGTCATTATCATGAGAACGCGACTTCCTTCCAAAATTGCCGCCCTGACGAATTTGGAGCTTTCCCATTCCAGAACGCGCTAAACCCCTCATACCTGCCCGGACATTGACGCGCCTGAAGAATATCAAACAGCCATCTTCTAATCAACCATCAATCTCAAACAGTCCTCCTGTTCATCCAGGTCGTACCTCACACTCGTCTTAACCTTCTTATCTCCTTTGTAGTGTGCCGTCTCCCTCAGCAGCCGTTGTGTCTCGTTATCGAATCCATACGTCAGTGTGGGAAGCGCGCTCTCCTTCCATACTGGTATTCTCAGTCGTGCAGACTCAATTATAACGAGAATCACATATAGGATGTCTATCGAGAGCATTGCGACCGGAAAAGCCATGTATGTCCAGTCGACACGTACGTGTGTGACCCAGCGTTGTGTGACGCCCTCAAGTCGATCGGGGGCGGTATCGCGCATCTGGTTTGTGAGACTACGAGCCACATTTTCGAATGTCGTGGTCAGGTTTGTGGAGTTTCATAACGCGTCAACGAAAGCCGGTGCGGCTCTATCTGGAAAGGCGATCACAGAGGGTGGTGGGTCGCCATTGAACTTTGCAGCATAGCTCGTGAAGACGTGGAGATAGTCGATAGTACTTCGGAGAAGCGCGTGAGATATGTTGACCTCTTGTGCCGCCATTGGAGAGAAGCCGCCTGCCTGTTGGGGAGGGATGAGAAGCCGAAGGTCGTGTCGCGGGAAATCTATGGTAGGATTGTATAGGTCGTACCCGGTGCTATCAATGTACTTTTCGTCTTCCGCATCCAGAGATCCGATGGATTCATATATCTTGTGTGAGTCAGGGTCTCGCACAGCCCAAGACCCGATGACGTTCTCTTGGACTAGACCGTTCTTACTACTGGCTTGATAGATGTTCGAGCAGAAATACAACGCGCATTCTGTTGCGACAGGATGTGACGACTCCCATGGTACTTTCGATTTGACCCAGTCATCAGCAGCTTTGATTATTTTGAAGCTCATCATCAGAGTTTGCAAATCAGAATGTTTCAGAGTTTGGCGCGCAGTAGACCCAGTCTTTACCGTCATAAAGGTTAGGGGAGTCCCTGTTCCACCGCCGCTAGTATACTTATACCAATCGTTGTCGTCTACTTTCGACAAGCCGTTGAAGTTCTTGATCTCAGTCTCTGGTAGGGAGAAAACGGGGTACGGTCTGGATTCGGATTTACAAGGTTAGTGTATGTATCACATGCAGTTCGTACGGGGATACTTACCCTTCAAAATGAACATTTGTGGCGCCCGGTATAGTCGACCCATTCGATCCTTGCGACCCATTGAAAACGAGCGTATCAGAGACATCCTTGCAAGAGCTGCACACAGCAGCCGAAACGAAGGCTGGCCAGGTACAGTTACCAGTAGCGCAAGTGAAGGCGACAGTGTTGGGGGTGTTCGTGGATGCGTTATAGAAACCTGCATTGACAGAGCTGACGATACCGAAGTCTGGCCGACTCTCAGGGTACGTGTATTGCAAAAGACCGGACGGTGTTCTGCTAGCACCTAAGGGTCCGCCTGGGTTCTCTATTACGTATCCACCGTCAACTCTCAAAGCTCGACCGATGCTAGCGTTAGAGAACGACCCGATATCGACAGCGTTGGAGCCTACCGCTATGTCATCGAGTTTTCCGTAGGTCGAGATGACCGCCTGGAAAAAGGGGTCGAATGCGACTGTACCTAAAAAAGAGCAGTTGTGTCAGCCTAATTCTAATGCATTCTGCAGCGTCCCACGTTGACAAGTGCTGTAAGCTTGCTAGCAAGTGGTGTAGATCGACCAGGTATGACATACCTACGGTGACTAGAGCACCCAACGCTGCCCAATGTCTGCAAGTATATCAGTTTTGCGATACGTGTTAACGGTATCCGGTATCTTACCTGAAACGTAACCAAACGAAAAGACGAGTCCCGCCCCAGGGTCCTCGGCTTGCTTCGTCGAACCTTTCGAATGCAAGTACAGAATCTGACCTTCGATTGAGCCAGCTCCATTTCTGCTGTCCAACGCATGCACTCATAGCAAATGCCAGAGCAGTTCTTGCTACCGTGCCGAGAGCGGCTACCCAGGTGTTGAGCGTGAAGATGAATGTCCAGGCTGTGATCGGCTTGTTGTTCTGGCCAATGAGAATGATGACGATCGCGACGATTGAGGCGATGCTTGCGATCAATGCAAAAATCTCAAAAATCCATGAGGATATGGTTTTGCGAAGGCGATAAGACGCTCTGCTTGCCTTCTCAACACTTACGATATCCGGGCTGTGATTCGAGACTACAGCTGCTCGCTCAGTGGCAGGGTCGTTACTGAGATGAACTGTAGAGTTGGAGTGTACAAGAGGCTCTTCAGAAGCATCCACATCGTCTGCGAAGCTATATGTTGTTGCTGGGAATGACATAGGTCGTCGCGAAGAGCCGAATCGTCCTGTCGAAGTTGCAGACGACCGACTAAATTGGGGGGATGTTGATCTTCCGTCGTTCATCTTGGTGGCTGTTTGTGCACTAAAAATTCAGTACATACTGAGTAAGAAAGGTGAATTGCATCTAGACGATTTGGAGCAGAAGGCTACTACAAATGGCTGAGTGGGCTGAAACTACAACAGCATAGAAAGCGCCCCAGGTCTAGTCAGCCACGCCCATGAGGCTTTTGGTGAGAGTTCTTGTTGGACCACCAGTGGTGCCAACCTCAGCCGTGTGACTTCACAATATGCACGAACGGCAGGGGCAACTTCTGGCCCCCAATTCCCACCTCCTTCCAGTGCGTCGTAATGTACACTCATTAAAAAGCTGACGAGACCAGAACTTGCGCATTATGTGTATTCACAGTAGAAGAAATGAAATCGAAGAGCGCTTGTCGGGAAACATGGTCTTGGAAAGGTAGGTACGTATGTTGGAAGGGAAACAGTCGGGACGGGATGAGCACGCTTTCCCGCGGGGCTTGCACACTGCCTCGTCGCCCCCTTTTTCACACTCCCCTCACAGCGCTGCACCAATGTATAAATAATGTCGAACATGATCGCAATTACCTCGATGTGCATCGGCGACCAAATAAGGGCTTTCCAAGAAAACAGAGAGCGGATATCTACGTGATCCCACTCGTCTGAAGCCATGAGTGAAGTTTCAGGCGCTATAGATAGCAACACGCGCACAGCATTGGGGCCAATCCGCAGGAACTTAAATTCCTAGTTGCTTGATAATTAGGTAGTCACACAAAAAGCAAGAGAAAGTCCATCGGTCAACGATTGCTTGATCACGACAGGCCGGGCATTGATGAGATGGTGGTGGCCTGCGAGTGGTGTTTGGTTTGTGGGCCATCCCCGCGGGAAATCGGAAGACCTCAGGAGGCTTCTGCGTTGTCACAAAAGCTAGACGCACCATATACACATGATAAACCATGTTCTTTTCGGTATCACATGCCTTTCTCTTACTAAGTGAATTCTATAGGCTGTCCATGGCTCATAGTTCAGATCGTAGGATACGATACCTCTTTAGAGGGGTAGATCCGATTGAGCCTTGGCAGAGAGGCTAAAGAAAGCCCCCACCCGGGCCCCACCTCCGGCCGACCCGTCGGCTTCCCGCCTTTCATACACTTACCCAGCGATGCCACGATGCGCGACTCAACTTCCTACCAGTACGATCTGGGTTGTTACCGTCGCAAGATTAGCACATCCAGCCCAGCTTCGCAAATATGGTTCGATCGCGGTTTGGTTTGGTGCTACGCCTTTCACCATGAAGAGTCCGCTCGATGCTTTGAACGAGCTATCGGCGAAGACTCGAATTGCGCGATGGCTTATTGGGGTGTAGGTCTTTGATGGTCTCCCAGGGATGTCTTGTGTACCCAGCTGATCGACGCAGCTCGCGTTCGCCCTCGGACCGAATTACAACAAGCCTTGGGACTTGTTTGACGAGAAAGAACTCAAGGCCACACTAGGAAAGATAAATGAAGCGAACGAAAAGGCCGAACTACACGCATCCAGTGCGTCGGATCTGGAAAGAGCCCTAATCGACGCCGTCCAAGTGCGCGTGCCGAAAGGTCTAGATGAAGCTGCGTTCCAAGCATGTAACGAAGAGTATGCCAAAGCTATGGAGGGTGTTTACAAGCGTTTCTCTGACGACCTTGACGTGGCGTCTCTCTACGCAGACTCTCTTGTCTGTCTCTCGGCATGGAATCTATGGGATCTCAAGACGGGCCAACCGACGCCAGGTGCTCGCTCTTTAGAGGCGAAGACCGTGCTCGAAAAGGCTTTACAGCAGAACGGCTCACATCTGCACCCAGGAGTTCTCCACCTGTACATTCATTTGATGGAGATGTCAGCAACGCCTGAAGTAGCCCTTATCTGTGCAGATCAGCTAAGACATCTTACCCCCGACGGAGGACATTTGCTGTAAGTGCATGCAAGAAGCCTCCGTAAAGCACATACTAACTCTAGAGACCTATAGACATATGCCGTCCCATCTGGACATCCTTGTTGGCGACTATCGACGTGCCATAGACGCTAACACCCAAGCCTGCCTTGCAGATGAGAAGTATGTCTCAGAGCATGGAGCACAAAACTTCTACTCATTTTACATGATGCACAATTATCACTCGCTCATATACGCAGCGATGTTTGCGGGGCAGCTGAAGGTTGCGCTAGATGCGGTCGACCGCATGGAAGCCTCACTGCCTGTCTCGCTTCTGCGCATCGAAAGTCCGCCCATGGCAGACTGGCTGGAGAACTTTGCATCAGTTCGTGTACATGTCCTGGTTCGCTTCGGGCAATGGCAGGATCTCATCGCACTCGAGATGCCATCGGATAGGGACCTTCACTGTGTGACAACGGCTATGACGCATTATGGCAAAGGTATTGCGTATGCCGTTACCGGCGACATCGTGAAGGCACAGAAGGAACGCGACGCTCTGGTCGAAGCAGTTGAACGTATTCCAGCATCTCGGATATGTGGGGATTTTCCAAACAGGTACGGTGCATACAGTCAAACTATCCGGAATGGCGGGCTATAAGGGCATACTAACCCATGCAGGTCTAATGTCGTCCTTCAAGTTGGGATAGCAATGCTGGACGGCGAACTTGAGTACCGCAAAGGCAACTACGAGGAAGCTTTCAGACACCTTGAAACAGCCATCCAGCGTGACGACGATCTGGTGTACGCCGAGCCATGGCCCTGGATGCAGCCGACACGACACGCCTATGCCGCTCTGTTGTTGGAGCAGGGCCGAATAGAAGATGCGGCAGCGGTCTATAAAGCAGACCTAGGGTTCGATGATACGCTACCGCGGGCAAGGCAACATCCGAACAACGTATGGGCCTTGCGCGGCTACCATGAGAGTTTGATAACCTTGGGTCGAAAAGACGAGGCGGGAATCATTGGGCAGCAACTCAGGATAGCACTTGCTGTAGCTGATGTTAGTGTCAACGCGAGCTGCTACTGCCGACGCAATCCTGAGTAGTGGGAACTCGTAGAGGGCCGGGCAGTTCGTGATGACCCGAAACGTTACGTTAGGATGCGATCGTCGGTGAACGCATATGGTTCCTGGCCAGTTGGGCTTCATTCCGTGTCCTCCGTGTCTACTTGGCCAACAAAATCCTCCGGCTGATTATCAGGACGATCTTCTATCTAGGTGTAGAGAGGTGCTGCGGTGTGAAAGACACAAGGATGGCTGGCCAGCATCGTCCGTGTTGGTGTCTTTTCGAGCGGATAGATGCAGCTCGTTTCCATATCGGACTGATCTGTCCGAATCTGTCAACGATGTCAGTACGACTCGTGGTTCATCGCTCGTATCATTCCTTGGGCGTTCCCCTTTCGATCAGATGTCAACAGCCTTACGTACTGTTTCGGAGTCGCCTCCGTCGCCTTCAAGGGGTTAATGATGACCCGAGTGACAGTTCCGCTACTGAACAAGCCGTCTCTAAGTGCCTTGGTATGCATTGCTGATGAGTCGTGTCCCATCTCCCAATCATCACCCAGTCATGCCTCGGTATCTCGAAGCACAGTTTCACGATCTGCCGCTAACGGTCGCCGACGTCCTCCGCTACCCTGTAGCTCCCACGTGTCTTACCAAGATCGTGCTAGATCGCCTCGCTTAGCACGCCCCGCCGGAAATTTCGTCCCCAACAGAGTCACGTCTAGTATGCACCTGCGCATGTATACATGCGTTGACTATCGTCCCTGAGGAAAACGCGGATCCCTCCTGTTCCTGTGCCACGCGACATTGACGCTTGGCATTTAACCGGCATTCACCAATGTTAGAAATCAACATCGAGGTCAGCCTGTGGGACCAGAGCGGATCCACAGGCTTGTACACACGGGAACTTGAACACGGGAACTTGAGCACCGAAAACTCTGACGTCTGCAGCCAAAGCGGGCACTTGATTGTCGGAACGGAGTCCGTCGACGTTAATTGTGCGCGGGTAGTCTAGATTGCGGGAGCTTCACGAGCCGCAGTTCTCCATCAACAAATTATGATCGTCTATGATTCAGGCGGATAACGTGGTAGGAGAACTCCCAGAACAGCAGCTGTGAAGCCGCGGGAATAATCGCCACAACATCCCTGATGTCCTATCGCAACGTCTGGGCGTTGATCAGCATGGCGTGCAAGCGGACCCTGCTCTGACATGCCGGCGGTGTTTGCCATTCCTGATTCAGTAGCACAGGGCAGGCCCACGAGCCGCCCTTCCCCTGGGTACCCATCGAATCGAGACTCGCTTGACTGTGGGCTGACTCAACTTGGCTGGTACCCAAGGGCTCGGGTACGAGGTATATGGAGCCAAAACCCGCCGGATTCTTCAGAACCTGGGGGTGAACCAGATTTGCCCGAATTCACGCCTTCACCATGGCTTCAAGGCACGAACTTGCGAACCGAGGACCTGAACTGCAGGCGGTATGTTCAAAGACGCTGAAGGAAGTGGAGACCATTGACTGACATCCGCAGGTGTGCTCAACGTTCGTCTCGCTTGCGTTCATTACCACTGTCCTGCGAGTTTACGTACGGGCCCGTA